CATTAGTTCTTCTTGCAATTTTACGGCCGCCATTTTGAATCAGCAGCCATGAATGGCGCTTGTTTTCAAGATCCAATAGGATTTATCAAATTTAGCATTTCGCCCGAAGTTGTGCCTCTGTTAATGGATAAAGACTTGCTCCACAAGATTTTTGTATCATTACGTGGGATAAAACAAGAATTATACGCTAAAAGATTTCAGGTAAATGACATACGTTGAAAACGCACGTCGTAAACCTCAGACGTGTAGCGAAAGTCTTGTCACGTGGCCTCCAGCGGTTAGCCGTTCGCGGTAAACTCGAATCTTAAACTCTCAAATAACCAAGATTTACGGAGGGTGGGTGACAACGATCGAAAGGAAAAACGCTGTTGCTCTAACGCTGTGCTTTACAGTACGTTTCACGTGATAGTTGGTCAAATCGCGCGTGATCAGATTACGAGTGATAGAAGGTCCAAACCCAGGTGATCAGATTGTCTGCTGTGCATTCCATCCATTCCTAGTGGAAGTCCAAATGAACGGCTCGCTAGTATGTTCTCAGTACTTTTGCCAAATTGTTAATTCAAAGAGACAAATCACATAAGACCAATTTTGATATTTAAACTGTCCATACGTAGCGCCGAGGTTTGGAGAAGTAAAGCCTCAAGCCTCTGAGCCAAATTATTGATCTTTCATAATTCACAATTGTGCAGGGGCTCCTTCATTCCTAGGGCCCGTTTACATGGAGGTGGGGGACCCCAGGTAAATGAGGTAACATGTGGCGGGTTACCCCTCCTATCATGTAAACATGATCAAATTAAAATGAGAGATTATATGGACAGGCGGGTTACCCCACCTGAGCGGGTTACCTCACCTACCTGGGGTCCCTACCTCCATGTAAACAGGCCCTTAATCATGGAATCAACAACACGCACCCTGCTTTCCCCACTGAGCATGCAAGGGAAGTGCAAGTCAGAGGTAATTATATTTTTTTTCAACAATAAGGTTAGACAAAGCGACCTTCCCATATGAAAATTGTAAATCGTTGTGTATCTCAAGCGTTCAAATAAAGAGTGAGATTGGGACACCTGGCCGCGTTAGTGTATAAGTGAGCCTACAATACCACCAATGGCCTTTGTTGTTTTGTTGTTAGTGGTGCTCAATTAAAAAATCTAGTCTACTACACCGCCGTTCTTTGTGTCGCCACGCTACGCCCCTCCCTCAACGCTCTCCCATCCTCTTGGAATAAGCGTTGCGTGAGGACACAAAGAACGGCTGTGTAGCAAACTGTGCTGAACCAGGGTATTCTACTTTTTAGTAGTAAACCAAAGACGAATCCGTCTATATCTTATCTTTTTTTCTTCTCGGGCTTACGCCCTCGTTTATCGCGGCTCGCGTGCTTGGAATTTTCGCGTGCACTAACTTTGCTCTCAGTCTAACAGAGGTTGACACCAACCTGAATACGAATGGGTCCAGGTTGAAGAACAATAAACTCAAGCACGCCCAGATACCCTTCCTCTTGGAATTTGTTTGCTGTGAGAACATAAGTCCTTTCACTCTTTCCTAGTAATGTTTCAAGCATGGTGAGTGTTGATGGCAGATGGCGCGGAAAGTATTCACCAACTTGGGACATCCGTGAACCTAGTAAAGTTATAACAAAAAAGGAAAATAGATAATAAGTTAGCGAAACTAGAAAGAGTTCCCTCCAGTAATATGAAACACACCTGTTTTGGAAAACCATCTTTATTTTATGTTTACGTGTCTTCTTTCAATACAACTAGTAGACGCTCAGTTAGATTGCTTTCACTCAACTATACATTCCGTTTGCGTAATTATAAATGATCTGTTACTGGCACAAACTGATCTCTGCCTGATTGCTCGTGAAGTGCTATTAAGAGACATTTACTTGTAATTTTCCAAAATAGTCCGCTTGAAACAGGCAGCTGGCAGAAACTTACTGTTAAGCGGACTGGATGATATAGTCATCTAGCTAGAGCGCTGTGTATCCTCGTCATCCACGCACTCTCGACTTATAAGGGCTGAGCGATGGCTGGAATATTTCAGGACAAATGTAATTAATTTAATTTAATGTAATTTAACTTCTGTCAGTGGAACGTGAAATGAACTTTTCGCTTCTTGAGTGTGATATGATGCTTATGTACTTCCACATTATCTTGACAACAAAAAGCGGAGTGATTCCTTCCTTGTGGGAACTCGTTTATATCATACCTGCGATCTCCTGTGATGCAATTTTTTTGTCTTCTACGGTTACAACAGCCACCACGTCCAGTCCTCGCGCAACTTTTGCTTCGCAATGAACCATCCTGCCAACAGGTGATGCTTTGGGGCACTGAAAAATCACTTCAGTGAGATTATCAGCGATCTCCATGTCTTCACTGAAGCTAAATCGGTTTCCTGTGAGATCCTCTACGGTCATGTTTACCTTGTAATGACCTGGGTTTTTGTAAAAGTAAGTAACAGGAGAATTGCAGAAAATGAGCTCGTTACCATCGCCAAAATTTATAGTGAACTTCACCAGCCCCATTTGTTCACTGTTCAAAGTAGCGTTGATTGTAAAAACCTCACCGATTTGTCTCTGGTTACGTGAAAAGCTGACTTTGTTGACTGTAAAATTTTGTCTTGGAATTCGATAATAACGCATGAAAACGCGTGCTTTTTCTCGCTTTGGAATATAAGGCAGGAGGCATTCAGTCTGATTTTGAGTTATAACTGACGGAACATTATTTCCACAGAAACACAGCATGCCTGACTGTATAGAGGCGTGACTATATCCCAGATCGGAACACCTTTTTATGCAAACTGTCTCATCGATTTCTGTATACCCAGTAAGTCCAGAATAGAATATTCCTATATTTGGGTCGCTGACCAGGTAGCATCCTAAGTACAATCTGGAATGGTTCATTGAAGCTGAAAAAGAAGCGTTTGAACAACGATAAATGGCTGAATATATAATTAGCTTCCTCGTAGTCTAAACCTAATCATAAAATGGAACTGTTTTCGAGTCTTGCTGGCTGCGTTAGCTTAAAAACCTAGCTTTCGCATTAGCTTTTAATATTACACTATGGCCTCTCATCAAACAGCTGGCATGGCCTCTTAAGGGGAGAAAATAGACTTCAGGGAATAATGTAACACCGAGAATTACTATAGAAATAAAACTTGGAGAAAAAAGCTTCCGCGAACGATTTTGGACGAAGAGTTCCCGGCACTGAGAAATACGGCTGCGAAAAGGAAAATAGGTAATGGCGTCATTTCGTTGCTATGACAACTCCGATATCATTGTAACCTTGATCATAACAAATTTTCATCTTTATCTAATACAGCTGTGGTGGTAAGTTTTCCAAATCTTTGTTAATGGCGGCGTAGTTTATCCTCAAACTTGGGAGGTACTGACCCTGAATAACCTCATCGAGCCACCTTAAAACAAAACGGTGTGGGAGTACAGCAAGGACAGGTAATAACATAAACTGGACATCCATGTGATGCAGGGGATTTAAATGTAAATTACATCACTGATAAACAAACTGAAGTATTTATGAAGACATCTTCGAATAGGTTTGAAGTTGAAGTCACTAAGAAAGGGAATGATAGGGCATGAACGGTCATTAGTGTCACAAATTGGACAACAAAGTAATAATCAAAACTTCAATTACAACTTACCCAGTGAAGGCATGGGATGCGTTTCTGTGAAACACATAATACTTGCACTAAGTTAAAGGATAGAATTTAATTACTGTAGAACATTCTTTAATCATTATAATTTATTATTATTATTATTATTATTATTATTATTATTATTATTATTATTATTATTGCTGTTGTTGTTTTTTTGTTATGGTTCATAACATAGTTCACTGTAATGTAGAAGCTAGAAGTCTATATGGGCATCTGGTCACTTCCGCGCGCGCGGCTACCTAGAATGTCAAGACTGATGATATAATTAAAACCTCCTCAAATAAAACTCCCTCAGTATTATTATTATTATTACTACTATTATTATTATTATCATTATTATTTTTTGATAAATTTTTTTGAACTAATAATAATATTTTATTACAATCTTATAAAAAGCTGCATAGAAAACCTCAGTAAAATATTCATAAAAAGGAAAACGTCAATATCAATACAAAATTTCGGCAAAACCCCTTCGCAATTCAAAATTCTAAGAAAACACAAGAAGTTATAAAAAATCAAGTCAAAAGTCCCGGCGGATGACATAAACGTCAACGCGCTGCTTCTAATAATACGGATAGGTTTCTGGATAAATTTTCCTTTTTTTTATACGGATAATCTTTCAGTTTTACGACTTTAAAAGCAAAAGAAGAGAAAAGTAAGCTAATCGTCAGGCTTATCTAACAACGTGACATAAGATTAAAACGAGGAACGTAACAGTTAATTGGCAAGATCACTGAAACACTCTCGTTACTTTTTTACCTGTTACGAATATCACTAAGCAAAATACACGTCATTATTTATATTATTCATTTCAATTTTAAATGTTTCGACTGTGTATTTTTCATAACGAGCTAATATCGCTGACCAAGAACCATAATGACTCTTACGCTGACTAAACTAAGGATTTATGGCATTGGCCAAATATATTTGAGATACATCGTCCAATAATGGATATCGAATTATCGGAGGAATGACGTTACAAAGCAGAAAGGCAATGTGAAGCTAGAAAGCGCGAAAATAGCGATGTGATTTCCGACGCTTACCGAAGAAGATATTTGTTCATGAAATGTACCGATAAGAAATTACAAAAGGGATTATATAGAAAGCCAAGATTGATTGCGGTTCAAGTAAATTTCAGAGCCGTTGAGGAATAAGGACGGGCAGCTAAACGCGGACCTTAAAGGGGTTTTTTCTACTTAGTCTTCGGCTCCAGAAAAGAATACCCCGGCCACAATATGCATAATTTTAACTGATTAAGCTCTGCCTACCCAATGATTCTTTATTTTTTATTGTAATGAATGTTGTCACTTGCATAGATACTAAAGAGTCTTCTAATTAAATTTATAGAACTTACGGAACGTTGAACAGAGAGATGCCTCGACATAACCCTCCAAAGTGTCGCCAATGTCTTCTTCATTGATCGACTTTATCCGCAAGAACCTTGTGAATAATTTACGACACAAACATTGCCCTTGGTCTTCTTTTTGCGCTCGAAAAATCTGTCGGGAGAAAGCGACGTTTTCAGGGTGAAATATCGATTGATGTGTACAACGTTTTTGACTTAAGCTGCAGTGAAATAAAAACTAAAAAACAATAAAGCTCTTGGCAAATCTTCCACCCACGATTACTTTGAATTCTGTATTCTGAGGAAACACCCAAAATATGGTAAAAAATTAAAGGATCAACTAAGGGGACTTTAAAGTTGAGCAAGATCTAGTACTTGCATTCTGTTTAGCAGGTTATTATCTCCAGTGTTTTACTGATGAGTATTAAATTTCCTCGATTAAAACTTCGCGCTTAAAAGCAACCACGACGAAGAAGGTCAAAAAAGTTGTTTTTATGGGTTGAAAAAAAAGCTCTGCAAGTACGTGACGCTTTTTGTTAAATTTCTTTCACGTTTGGCCCGGGTTGTTCAAACTTAAGATACCGCTATCCACTAGATAAATCAATATCAAGCGGACAAGTATTAGAGAAACCAATTGCGTTATCCACTGGATAGAGATTTATTCTGTGGATAGCACTATCCATCTTTCGAACAACCGAGCCCAGGCAGCTTATACAACGACAACGGCCACGTTTACTCCGCCTTCGAGGTTGCTTGATAAATATACGACGTGAACCTTCATAATGCGATGTTTTGTGGAGGACGCGAACATAGAACTGTTTTACCTTGAGTCGTTCATCCTCCACATAATCGCTCCAGTGAATTCCATCCAGGCTGTAGTCAACAGTAAAATTCAAAGTAGACAAACTGGAATTCCATTTGAACGCAAAACCAACATACCGAACAAAAACTGCTTGTTGTAAGTCCACAACCAGACCACGATTTGACGGTTGGAACCTAAGTGTAGCTAAAACATTTTTTCCAAAAGTTTTCCTCGGCAAATCTGAGCTATCTGCAAGAAATTAAATGAAATAACGTACATATTTAACATTTATTTGACAACGAAAAAAAGAAAAACGTCAAGAAACATGGCCTAAGGATAATTAGTGTTGTGTCCAGTAAGCTGATAGATTCGGATCAGTCCTCGTCCACATGTGTCCGGATATTTTTTAAGTAGGCCGAAATTTTTTTCCGTTTTCAAAAAGTACGCATCCACGCGTAATGTGTTTAAATCGTCTTTGCGCATCCTCCCGAAAACTCTAAAATTATGCAAATGCGATAGCATCCCTTAAAGGTGATGTCACACGAGACGATTCGCAACGACGATTTTTAGCGTTACACTGCGTTGCAACATTGCTGTGACATTGTTTCGAATGGTTACAACATTGTTCCAGCATTGCAACGCTGTGTTGCACTAAAAATAGTCGTTGCGAATCGTCCCGTGTAACATCACCTTAAAGACTGACGTGCGCTGTATGTTGTATGACATCATCGCATTCGAAAACCTCCCTTTTCGTCTTTCTAGTTAATTGCTGATTTGAAGAGCATCATGGGAAACCGGAAGGAATGGATGAAGCTAGTTAATGGAGTTCGAGTTCGCTCGAAATAAGCATAAGCATAAGCAAAAACAATCTGGCATTTTCAAAAATCTCCACTATGAGGACCGTTTTCAGAAACTGTTTACAAGCGGACCGCGGGGCCTAAAACCGCTTCTGATTCCGTTCCCACCTAGGGCAAATCAAGCCAAATGTGGGCTGAGAAATGAAAACAGTATGAACGCAATACTAATTTTGATTGTTCTTACCCTGAAAACTGTCTGTTGACCACGATTTTAATTGAAATGCTACTGTCACTGATTTTTGGTCACATGGAGCCACTGGTGTATAAAGACGCCGCTCACAAATGGGTCTGATGGTCTCGCTTGTGAGACAATCACTGCATGATGTTCCATCGCTTATTTGACTTCCATATTCCAAAGAGAAGGAAGTGGAGTTGCACTGGTAGGTTAACAAATCTGTGAAAATAGAAGAATGTTTAGCCACTGCTGATGTGAAAAAACCTTTAAATTAAGTTGCATGCGCCGCAGACGCTCTAAATCTTCTGTATAGAGCGTCTGCGAATTAGTGCAATATCGTGTTCGAATCCGGCAGAACGGTCCCAAGGACATATGTCGGCGCTTTTGATTGGCTAGTTTCTTACGCGGTTTGTGATTTGTCCGATTTGAATTAAGTGTTGACAGACCAAACACGACTAATAGCTCGTGACAAGAGACGGATAGCCTGCGTGGCAGGTGTTAAAAGGGGAAGGGAAAGGGGGAATTTGGGCGCGCGAGAGCGTGTGGGGCGCGCGAGGGAGAAAGGAAAGGAGCCCTCCGCCCTCCTCCCTCCTCCCTCGCACGTGGTCTCGTGCCGTAATTCTCTCCCCCTTCCCTTTAGAACGCTTGCTACGCAGGCTAAGAGACGGATTGAGCTTGTAATAGTGTGAAACGTGACCTTAGAGTCAGCTTCCACAATAGAGTTTTTTCATGCTTTCTTTTTGCGTAGTTTATGCAGTGCATGGAGTATTCTACACTTTGACTGAGCAAATTTTTTGCCGCTTTGAGTCCCACATTTAGAGGTTATGATGCTGGTCTGTTCCATGCATATTGAGTAATTAGTCAGTGTGGTTTATGTTTCGGCAAATGCATGTTTTTTGACAGGATTTGATCACGGATGCAGTTTCTTTTACCTCTGTTGAAGCCTTAAGCTTTTTTATTGTGGTTAAATGACCTTAGTCTCTTTGGTTTTTTCCTAAATGCCTGGACCTGAATAGCTACATGTGTGTAGTTTTTCTTTTTTTTTTTGGTCCTGAATATTATGATTTCCTACTTTGTTTTGACGCTAGAACTGCTCTTTCATTGTTTACTGTAAACAATCTTTGCCAAATCCCTTCTGTGAATTTTGACATGTCACTGCGCTCAACCGTCACGCACACGCAAAAATTAGGCAAATTGTGGGGCGCATAAGAAAGCCGTAAGAAACCCGGCTATCCGAAACGCTCACATATGTCCCTGCGACTCTGCAGGATAATAGAAAGAGGTTTTGTGCACTAATTCGCCGACGGACTATACAAAGGGTTTAGACGAGTGCGTGGGCCGGCTGCAATGCAGGCTATAAATGAAGGTGCTACCGCTGAAGAAGGGATTTAAAAGAAGGTAAAGGCGCACACAAGCCAAAGGCCCAAAACGGCCAGAGCTTATCCCGGTTTCCTAAGGATGAAGCATGCAAAGGAGTATTGCTACTCCCACCTGAACGGAATGCTAGTCCATCGCAGGGTTACCCTCCAGCATTATGTCGCCAGTACCCATTTATAAACCTGGGTGAAGAGAGACAAAGTGGGGTAAAGTTCCTTGTCTAAGGAAACAACCCGACGGGCAAGGCATGAACACCGGACCTCCAGATCGGGAGTTCGAGGTGTTAACCACCATGCCACATACGCCTCCACAAAAAAGGGATTAGCGAGCGAATATTTGACCTATGAAGCCTATTGGAGCTGGTACACCTTCCTGTAGGTCTAACCAAGTTTTAAAAAGGAAAACGCTCTCAAAACGCATGAACAGAAAAACGTACAGCTCCATAGAAGAGCCTCAAATGTAGTAAAGGCCAGAAAATGCAATAAAAATTGATTTCAAATACAATAAAGCCCTCAAATTTAATAGAAAATTACCACAAACGAACAAAGCCTCAAAACAGGAGCCGATTACTCCTGCTCAAAAGCAATTTACTCTAAAGAGCGCCGCCCTCGAATATGCGCCTCTTTGAAATACGAGTCACACAGAGGGGTCAAAGAATCAATAATCGTCACGGAGCCCTTTTGAGTAAGTAAGTACAATACTCTACGTCCTTTCATCGAAAGAGCGCAGTATTTCCAAACAACACTGATGAGCCTATTAGTTTTCACTGTTTTTCAACCTTTTTTTAATGCTGATTATTATTGCTGAGCCTGGTGGGGCATAGACCTTCAAAAGCGTACTATCAGTTATTCGAAAATAGGAAGTAGGCTATTATATTCTTCATCTGTATCCTTTTCAAGAATCACTCATGAATCCAACGTTTTAGCTGAAACATGATTGAATTATCGAAGCATTACCTAGTGTTCTTCGACGTTTTTGAAATCAGTATAACCCTATTTGCCGTAAAAAAAAAACATGAACAGTACCTGGTGCGTATTGATGTTTGAACTGAGTCTGGTTTTAAGATTAGAGATTAGAATTTTTAAGAAGAGAGTGCTCTTTTAAAATGAATATTGAAATCAGTCGATCAAAATTTTATTATCCGTAGAGTTCCTGCAGGATTGTTATCATCAAATTTTTGCGCGCACCAACTTTTTGCGCACCAATTTTTTTCGCCAGAGGGCACCGTAAAGCCGTTACGCTTCTTGTCTAAACCCTCTCTGTTTTGTGTTTCTGTTGTGGCCATACTCGAGCTCTTTTCCTCTTGATCAGACTTTTCCGCACTTTATAGGCCTCTTGAAAAAGGTCATGGCTGAAGAATAAGTCACGTGGCTATATGATAAGAATAAACGTTTATTAACTGTTTCTTAAACTACTGAGCTGTTTCTTCCGTCGTAGTTTGCATTGCTCAGCGTATTTTCTTGAATATTTTCTGATCTATGCAAGTTTTGAACTTTTGTGCCAATGCCAAATTTTAGAACACCTCTATCAGCAGGGACCATCAAGTAGTCACCCGGCTATTCCCCAAATAGAGGTTTCATTGTAACAGGGGCATAGCGTCTTTTATACACTATATGTTAGACCTCAATCTATTCGATGCATACTAATAAAGGATGTACACATGAGATCACAGCTTTGTGTTAGTACCAACTATAAGCTAGGAGTATGTTTTTTTTAGTTACTCGAACTTTAAATTCTTTTGTATTTTCTTTATATCTTAGTTACATGGCAACGGGGTTAATTAAGGATTTATTTAGTTAAACAAATCAATAAAGCTTAAGATACTGGTTTTAATTATTAACCAAGCATGAACGAAGTTAACCGCAGGATAATGTTTTTGGTAGTTTTAAAATACTATTGAAGTTCAACAAGTAAATTCCAGAAAACAATTAAGGAGAATAAAACATTCTGTTTCAAATCTTAAACTTCCTGTAGAATCCAATGTTTCTAACCTCCTAGGGAAAAAGAAATTGTTTTCAATTTTCGGTAGGTTCGCAAAACTAGGAATAAAGTTTGTTAAGTGTTTTTACTGGTCAAGAAATACCAGTTTTGGTGGAATTATCGAGGAGGAAGTGTTTAAGAAAATAAGGATTTCATTATTGCTAGAAGTACCTGATAAAAAGTAATGTAATTTCTGTCATGAAAGAAATTAAAGGTCTTTGAAAGTAAGAGTAAATAATCACGCTAGGATAGCAAGGTTTCTAAATCAAGGGCAAGAATGGTTTATATAATGAACCCATGAACACAAGTGATATATACAAAAAATAAAGCTGTTTTAAGTTTAATCCCAAAAAAGGATAACCTTTTTCGAAAATAAATTACCATATCGAGAAAAATACGTTAAGAGAAATTGTGGCGATGTTCAAAAGAAATGTAGACTGAAGCCTTTCCAAGAATGTGCTCTGGGAATATTCGTTAATGCTCATGCCGGCCACCTATTTTTGGCGTTATATTATTAGTGACAAGGAAAATCTTGCGTCTATACAAACCAAAAGATTTATGCTATGCACCTTGGCTTTAAAGTTTGAAATCTTTGGGCTTTCTTAAAATTGTCTTGCACAAAAAGCGTTGGTTTTTTTCCGTAAGAAACTGCATTATTTCATTTTTGACACATATTAAGCTGGAGATTTCCCGTTACATGAATTTTTCATCGATCAACGCCATTTATTCAGAGCACGTTTTCCTGAATTTTGAATTTGTAGAAAATATTATAATAGGAGAAAGAAAGATACAGAATTCAACATT